CCCCCACCACTCTGCAGACTCTAATCCAACTCGAATGCAAATCTACCCATGTTACCAAACCCCCCCAGCACCCCTCTGCCCGCAGGAAAAAGTCCCAAATCCTTGCTGGGCTCCCATCCCTGGAGCCCCTCGCCTGCACCTCTTGGCCTGGCCATGCGAATCACGCCCGGGTCCCACCCTGACTGCATCTCCCACCAGCCCATTCTGGAAAACCCCTCCCTGCCTCAACGTGGCCTGGTCCAGGAAAGCCACCCTGACCTGAGAAAGAGTGTCAGGGCCTTTCTTCCACGCCGGCCACATGAATCTCATCTTGTGCCCCCTTTGCTGAGCCATCTCCCCAGTGGACTGTCACCTGGGTGGGAGGACTGCAATGGATCCAGCTGGTGCCTCCCGTAGCCCAGCACAGGGCCAGGCACCCACACGCATGCATGCACAGTGGGCACGTGTGTCTTGAAGAGAACTGAGAATGAACATGAAGCAGGTGTCCCTCAGGGGCTCGAGCCCATCACCTGGCGAAGGCACTGCTGGGACAAGTCAGTGTCACTTCCTGGTAGGCGGGGCTGGTGGCAAGGCCAGGGAAGTGGGCATAACAGAGCCGTCAGCCCTGGGCGGGCCCTGGTGACAGGGAAGGTGTGGTGGGGAGTCCCATGGCATGACGGGGCTGCCATTCCTTCCTCGGGTGCAGGGCAGCATGCACCCCGCCCACCCCTCGTGATAGGCTGCCAGGAACCGAGGCCCAGGTCAGCTGCCGGGACAGGTACCCTCCGGCCTGAGCAGCACCAGGAGCCCGAATCCTGGATGACACAGCGCCAGGAAACTTCCAGGGGACGCGTGAAGGGGGCGTATGAGCATGGGAGGGTCTGCTCCAATCACAGTGCTGAGAGCGGGAGTGGAGAGGAGACCACGTGTCCTCAGACGGTTCTCAGAGGGCCAAGGACCCTGCGCGAAATGACACTGAGTTATGGAGTGAATTATCCTGTTCCTTGTAAAACCCTTCCAGTAAAATGAAAACAGTGTCCCCTTCGGCCAGTGTGTGGTCCACTGTGACGCCTCTCCCAGGCTTGGAGTCCTGTCCCCTCTCCCCGCTCCGCTTTACGCAAGAACCACCTGCGGGTGCAGGAACGGGCAGGTAGCACCACCTGGCTGGAACCGAGCAAGGCCGGGTCTGCACTGTTTTGCGGGCGGCCAGGGGCGGTCCACCTCCAGCTGCTACACAAAGTCTCTTTAACTTCGCTGAGCTACCGAGTGAGCGCGCGAGCAACTGGCTCCGCCGGGGCCAGGTGAGCCCCGGTTCGCCGTACTCTAACGCCCGGCGCGCGGGGAGCCCCTCCCCGCCTGGCACAGGCCCCTGGCGGAGCGTCGGAGCACAAGCGGGAGGGGCGGCGACTTAAGGGGAGGGAAGGAGCCACCTGGCTGCGTGGCGGGGTGGGGAGGCGCGCGGGCCGAGGGGACAGCGCGACCAAAAGCCCGCAGGCGGGAAGCAGCAGGTGTGCCAGGGCAGGGGACGGCCCGGCCCAGGGCTGAGACCTTCGGAGCGTCGGAGGCGCGGCGGCGGCCGGGTCTGGACCAGCTGGGGCAGGACCGGAGCCGAGGACAGGCCCCGCCCCGCGCCCGCGTGTCTGTGGCTTTTCTGTCTGCTCCCCGCGGTTGGGGGCCATAAATCCCCGCCCCGGCCGCGCGCTCTCCGCGCAGGAGTGAGAGGGGGACGTCCCGGCCCACCAGCGCCGGCGGTGGTCGCCGAGCTCCGGTGCCCACTGCGCTCTCCCCCGGCACGTGCTGGGGACGCCCCGCGGGAGGCAGGTGCCCTGTCGGGATCTGAGCGCCCGCCCGCCCCCGCCTCTCTTTGGCGACAGTGGTGCCTTGGCGGTTGGCAGTGATGGGCATCGATGCGGCCCCCTTCTCTTTGGGGACCCGAGAAGCGATCACGCCGCAGGTCACGGCCCAGGCGGGCAAATAGAGACCGCCCTGTTCTCCTGAACAGGGACCAACAGCCTGGTGACCACCAACCAGGTCAGAAGCGCACAGTTAGAGGGCTGTCACCTGTCCCCGCGTGGGAGGGAGTGGGCATCACCCTCACCCGCCCAGCCTCCCTGGCCACTGGAAGGTAGCCTGTGTGCAGTGTGGCCTGGCCAGAGGCTGAGGACTCAGCCCTCTGGGGTTGGCGTGTTCCCTCGGGAGGGTGAAGGGTCCTGCGGGGTCCGTAGTGTCTTCCCAACGTCCCAGCCCGGCCCAGTGGGACTGCATGGCAAGACCCTTAGGTGGAGGAGCAAGCAGAGCGCACCTGAGCCTGGGACAGAGCCAGGAGGCATTTTGTTGTCGTGCTTGAGTTGTAGATCTTTATATGGTCTGGATATTAATCCCTCATCAGATATGTAATCTGCAAACATTTTCTCCCACTCTGTGGGTTGTGTTTTCACTCTTCAGTAGTGGTCTTTGGCACACACATTTTTCATTTCGATAACATCCAACATATCTGCTGCTGCATTGTGGCCTGCGCCTCTGGTGTCCTGTCTAAGCAATCACTGCCTGATCCCATGCCAAGGACCTTCCCCGTTTCCTTCTGAGAGTTTTAAGAGTGTTAGGTCTTATGCTTAGGTCTCTGGCACATTTTGAGCTAGTTTTGCATATGCTCTGAGGCAAGGTCCAACCTCATTGCTTCGCATGTAGAGCTTCCTCCTTTGTTTAAACCCCATGTGTGTGGAGGGCTCCAGGCCCAGCAGGGCACCCAGGGGAGCGGGAGGTCCCAGCCCTACTCAGGCAGCTCCCCCACAAAGGGATTGGGCCAAGGGTGGGCACATCACCTGGCAGCCAGCCGGATGCTTCCCCAGGATTTTATACACACTGCTTCTGCACAAAGCCCTCACCTCTCCAAGCCTCAGTTTCTCCTTTGCACCCAGGGAGCTGGACCCAGTCAGGGCCCTTTTCCCTGCCCCACCCCCACCCCATCCTCCAGCTAAACGCCCCCTTCCCTCCCACCAATCCCCTCACAGCTCTGTCCCCCAGGACAGGAATTCTGTGTTGGCTGGAACTGAGCACCAGGGCTGAGGGCCGGTGTCTCCTCCATCCCTCACCAGCACACGGGAACCAGGGCCTTGTCCCGCTCTTCCTGTTCCACAACTTCTATGGCTCCCAGAGCCCACAGGCCCAGGCCCAGGCCCTGTGCTTCGGCACCCCAGGCCCTCCAGAACCACACCCCACACCTAGTCCGCCTCCCCAAACTGCACCCCTCATTACCTTCCAAGCCCCTCCACCTGGCCAGCCCTTCTGCTCTCTGCCCAGGACTGGAGCTGGGTCCATGCAGCCCTGGTCTCTTTGCGTTCCACCTGCTGGCAGTGGCTAATTGCTGAGGACACAGCCCTGTGCAGACATCCTCAGGAGAAAGATGGTGTCTAGGAACCTTAGTCTCCTGCTCCTCACCAGGAAGCCCAAGGCTGTATGCCCCGGGCCAGGCTTACCTGGGCGCTTGTTCAAAACACAGATTCCCAGGACCCCTGAGAGCTAGGGCTAGAGAATGAGTGTCTCAGACAAGCCACTCATGATCTCAGCCCCCTGAGGGTGCAGTCCCCAGGCCAGGCCCACGCTAGGTCACTGTGGGAACCCCGGAGTGGGCAGCCCCTTGGCCCTCAAGTCTGGGAGAGACCCAGAATGTCCCCCTTCTGCTCAAGGTGGCCATCCACCGGGACTTCCTCACCGGAACTCCCCGCCTCACCCGGCGATAGCCACCTCCCTCTGGGCCACTGCAGACCTCCCTGGCCAGCGCAGCAGAGACCCACAACACCCCTCAGGGTTTCTACTCCTCTGGCAGAAGCGGGGGGTTGGGAGCATGTGGGGTTCATCCACTGAGAGCACAGGACCAGATGCGGGTGATGGGGCAAAGGACCCAGGACCCAGGGAGGAGGAGGAAGAGGGAGGGAGGAAGGAGTGAATGAGTGAGTGAGTGAACTAATGAAAGCAAGTCACTTCCAGCTGTCCAGCGAGCTCACCGCCTTGGAAACTTGCCCGCCCCGCCCCCCAGCCGTCCAGGCTGCCCCACGAGCGCCCCGCCGCGCACCCCCGGGCCTGACTCGGTCGGGGCTCGGGGACACCTGCCACCACCTTCCCCGGAAACGGGGAAGGTCCTTGGCATGGGATCAGGCAGTGATTGCGCCGACCCTCGGAGCTGCGGAGGCGCCCCTTGCCCGTCTGCGAAGTGGGGCGCGGGGGCCCGACGGGGACGCCGCGCGGGGCGGGACAGGCCGCGCGTTGGCAACGTGATGTCCCGCGCGCCCGAGGGCGCCAGTGCGGGGCCGGGGGCGGCTGGAGACCGCGGGCCCGGCGCCCCTCCCCCACCGGCTCGCAGGCCCGGCTCCCCTCCCCCTACGGCGGCCGGCGCCCGGGTTAGGGAGCGTCCACATTTCTCCTCCCGTCGGTCGTGCGCGCGGTCAGCCTTCTGTACGGGGTCAGCTCATTGGCCGCATTCGGAGGACGCCCCACCCCCGGCCCCGAACTGGCCAATTGCAAGGGGCTTCACAGAGCGCTGAACTCCAGGTTCGTCACCGTCCTGTGACGCTTCGGGGATCCTTAGGCCTCGGTGGCCTTTGGCCCCCTGCCCCGGGCCCTGACCCCAAGGAGACCTCCGGAACCTGTGCCCGGAACGGTGCCCGCCGTGCATCCGGGGAGCCCTTGGTGATCGCGGCCTCCCTTTTCTCCCGAGGCTCGCCGGCGTGTCCTCGAGTGGACGCGCACACACCGAAGGGGAGTTTGCAGACGCTCCCTCACTTCGGGGACGCGGCTCCTTTAAGGGCGCAGGTGTCCACAGCGCCGCCTGACTGGAAAGTCGCCGCCGGGCCGGGCTCCCGGGCTGGGTTCGGGGGGCGGGCGCGCAGCGACGGGTCGCGGGCCGCAGGGGGCGAGCGGCGGCGCGAACGGCGCGGGGCGCGGGGCGGCGGCGGCTGCGCCCGGGACCGGCGCGCGGAGGGCAACCCCGGCCAGGCCCCGCCCCGCGCGCCCCGCCCGCGCCGGGGTCCTCGGAGCTCTCGGGCTGCGCGCGGAGCGGGCTCCGGAGGGAAGTCCCGAGACAAAGGGAAGCGCCGCCGCCGCCCCGCTCGGCCCTCCGCCTGTCGCGACGCTCGCCGGGGCCGCGGCCGCCCGAGGTGAGCGCGGGCCGGGCGGGGCATGGCCTCCGTCGCCCGCATCCCGCCCCGCCGCGCCGGCTCCCCACGGGCCGCGAGGCCGCCGGCTTGTCCGCGCTGTCGCGCCGCGGGGCCGCCGCAGGCCTCCGGGCTGGGCGCAGGCCCGGGCCCGCTCGCCGCGTCCGCGCACTCGCCCGTCTCCGCGCCGGCGGGTCGCGCTGGGCGGGGGCCGCCTGCACCCGGGCGCGGGCAGCGGGCCCTGCTCGCCGTGGGGAGCGCGTTTCCGGGGTCCGGTCGCGCCCAGCCGTGGCGCCCTCCGGCCCGGGGAGGACGGACGGCGGGAAGGGTTGGGAGTCCGGGGTCGCGGGATGCGGGCTCGGGGGGTGGGGTGGGGGCAGGTGCGTGGGCTCGTGTTCGGTGTCTCGCAGTCAAAACAGCTCCAAGTTTCCTTGCGCCTTCAGCGACGCCGCTGCAGTTGGTGGGACCCTGCACGTCGGCGCCTCACTGAAGGGAGAGTTTTGTTCTCTTTCGGGGATCGCTTTGTACCAGTTCAGTGGGGTGGGACCGGTGGTTACGCGAGTAGGAGGAAGGTAAGGGGACGATTAGGCTTGTGATCGTGGCCTGCAGTCCCCCCTAAGTAGCAGAATTAACTGATTTGGTTTGCAAAATTTGAAAGTTCCTCAGGTTGCAAAGTAACTGTGCTTGTCTTTTGGGGTTTCTGTTTGTTTCCTTTTATAGGTTCTACTCCAAATGTTTCTTGCTCTTAAGGAAGTGTTGCCTTTGAATACAGAACCTATTCAACAGCAAACCGTGGATCCTAAGTCTGTCCTGGCTTCCTTACAAAGAGTACCCTCCCTACGTCTTTGGAATGGTTGCTGTCGTGCCTTTCTCTGATGCGTCTCAGGGTTTGGGGTCTTGCTTCCGAAACAGCCTGGGGTTCTGCGACAGAGGTCAGGTGCAGCCGGGTGAGGGTCTCCTGAGTGCAGGGTGCTTGGAGCTTGCAGAAGTGTTATCTTCCCAAGTCTGGGAGAGTTTGCATCTGGGCAGAGGCTTCTCATCCAAACCGGTTATGGCATTGTCCCCCATTATACAGATGAGTAAATTGAGGTTGGGGAAGTGCCTTGCCCACACTCACACAGCCAGTAAGTAGCGCTGAAGTCCGTGCTTGTCAACCAGGGGAGCAGAATCTGAGAAGAACAGGTTAAAGTGCAGCCCCAGCAGACCTCTCCGCTGTGCTGGCATACCCAGGCCTCCTGTTCCCCGCAGGTGTTTTGCCTCGCCTGTCTCTAAGAGTTTAGGGTTATTTTTGTCTTTACATCATAAAACTTTCCTGCTCTGAAGCATCTAGTGACACTTAGCTGCTCCTTAAGTGCCTCTCTATTAATTTGGGGAGGCAGCTTTGATTGTAAGTGGGGTTTTGAGTGAGTGGTTCTGTGTCATGATTAAACTGCAACAGATTGGCTGCCTTCTCCTGGATGCTGGGGGCTGATAGGGGTGCAGGTGCGGGTCCTGGAGACCAGGCTTCTGTCTGGGACTGTGGCGTGCACCTGTGGCGCTTTGCTCTGACGGTGCCGTGTCTCTCATGAGACCAGCGACCAGCCTCTGGTACTGGGGTGCTCTGAGGCAGAGGGTGTTCAGGAAGCAGGCAGGCCTTGGCAGGACGTGTAGGGAATCTCACAGGACCGCCCCTCATTGCCTTTCATACCTGCAACAACCACAGCCGGGTGCTAGGAGAGGCAGCCTGTGGCAGGGTCCCCACATCCTTGCACAGGCAGGCTCCTCCGGAGCACTGTGAGCTTTCCTGGTGACAGTACCTGTGGCTCCTTGGTGTCCAAAGTGCTGGCCCGGGGCTTGTCGTGTAGCCGCTTTGAGACTCTGGAGACCTTACGAAGCCGTCACTTAGCAGGCTGCTTTGCAATGGATAGGGTGGGGGCCGCTGCCTGGAGGCAGGGAAGCTAGAGAGTGCTGAGCCTGGGGACGGGGCACTCCCAGAGCCCTGGGGTAGGGTGGAGCAGTCCTAGAAGAGCCAGAGGGGTTTGAGAAATTCGTGGAGATAAAGAGTTTCAGACCTTGGGTTCCTGCTGTCACCTCCAGCCCAGAGACAGCCTTCAGAACAAGCTCCTGGCGCTCCCTTCTGCAGCGCCGCCTTCGGGACTGCCCCTTGCCCCTGCCCGGGCCCTTCTGCTCCTGGCCCAGGCCAGCCATCTCCGCTGGCTCTGCCCTGGCGGTTCCCGCCTGACCACCCTCCTTTCTGTCGCAGCCCCCAGCACTTGCCCACCCGGGAGCCCATGTCCTCAGGCTGCCTCCTGCTTAGGAGAGTGCACAGGGATCTTTGGGGAAGGGGTGGATGCTCCGGGCGGCATGAGCCTTAGCGGTCACGGTCACGCTTTCTCGGACAGGCGCATCTGCCCTGCGAGGAGGGAGTGGGTGCGCCACAACTCTGGGGTCTGTGCCGTAAAGAGAAATTCCAGTTTGGGCCAAGCCTGGTGTTGCTACCTTAGACTCAACCTCGAGGTTGGGGGAGGTAGGAAGCTGTAACTGCGCGTTCCTCCGCCATGTGCCACCCGACACCCGCGTCCTGCTGCAGGGTTTTGCTTCTCTTACCTTCCCTTTCTCTTAGGACACCGGGAGTGTCGAAATTATCGAGAAAGCACCATGTCTAATTGGTGGTCCGGCGGCTTGGAGTAACCTCACCCAAGGGCTCCTGGACATTGGGGCTCTCGGGGTGACACTGGGACAGCCCAGGGTTTCTGGGATGGGGGTCCTAATCCCCCTCCTTCCACATTGCTGACTTCTTGGAAAAGTCATCCTAGCACCACCTAAGACCCAGGTGTGACCCTGAATTCCTGACTCAGTGGGCCCATTGGGGACAGAGCGTTTGCCTTTCTGACAAGTGCCAGGTGACGTGGCTGTCGTGAGAGCAGCTGTGCTGCAGGGGGTGCAGCGTGCACCATGGGCCGGGCTGTGTGGGGTCGTGGGCTGTTCGCTCCATCTGGGCGGGTGGAAGGTGCCGTCCGCATCGCCGGACACCGTGGTCGTTCTGGGCCGGGCCAGGGCTGCGCGGGCAAGTAGCCAACACCGAGGGGAGGCTCTGCCCTCAGGGGCGAGTGACTCGCGGTCTCCTTTGTCGTCTCTGAGGGCAGCGCGGTGGAGGTGCCCCCAGCCTGTGTCGAGGCCTGGGTGCTGGTCGGGAGCTATGTGGGAGCCAGGCAGCAGGCAGGTTCTTCTAAAGCCCGTCAAGGACGCTGTGCTGCCGAGGGGCCCTTTCTCTCTGAGGAGTGGAGAGCAGGCCCGTGGCCTGGGGCCCTGGACGGAGCTGGGAGGGCTGCTGTCCAGCCTTGCGAGAAACAGTCACTTGTCTTGATGAAGCCTGTTTGGGGTTTAGACTCTTGACTTGGGGTACCTTCAGGGATTCCACGGACTTTGAAGACCACCACACTCACTTAGGTTCGAGTTCTCCTTCAAGTTTTGTCACCTGAGCGCCATTTCTCATGGGTGAAGGGTGTGGATGGCAGCTGGCGGGGGTGGTGGTCGAGGGTGGTGTGCAGGCTGCTGGCCCCTGCCCACTGGGGCCACGGTCCCAGGACGGTCACCGCGGACCTGCTCCCTGCGTGCTGCGGGCTCTGAGCCTGAGCAGCCCTCCCTGGAGGACCTGGCTGTCCCCTGGCAGACACGTGGGGCCTGCGGTGTCTCATCCACAGGTTTAACCGTCCTCCACCCTGTCTTCAAGAATAATGGCCATCCTCCTGGCCAGGCCCGAATCTAAATTCTGAGCCCTGATTCTAAGCTGGGGACCCCCACTTCTCACGTACCTGGAGGGCAGTGCCCCATTCCCGCCCCTCCCTGGTCTCAGGCCGGCGCTCCGGACGTTCCTGCTTGGGTCCCTGCCTTTCCTACAGAGTCTGGTGGCAGAATGGGGCCCCCGTCACTCTGACCTGTTGCAGCGTGTGTGGAAAGAGGGTGCAGCAGGTCACGGCCCAGCAGCTGCGGTCTGGCCTCTCTGAGCCTCTGTCTCCTCACCGGGAAACAGGGGCCCCCATGTGTGTCAGAGCCTGGGGGTAGTAGGGGCAGGTGAAGGGCGCAGAGGAGGCGTCCCACCTGCCCCCAGGGCGCACGAGTCGGCAGCAGGAGCCCAGGTTTGCCTCTGACCTTGTGCGCTGCCCCCTGTCTGTTCCAGGGACTGCGAACATGTCGGGAATCGCCCTCAGCAGACTCGCCCAGGAGCGGAAGGCCTGGAGGAAAGACCACCCTTTCGTAAGGAGCTTCTTCCCCGCGCGGCGGAGGGCAGGGGGCTTTGCTCATTCTCTGGGTTGCCCCAGCACTGACGTGCTTCCATGGTGGTTTTCCCTCAGGGTTTTGTGGCTGTCCCGACAAAAAATCCCGATGGCACGATGAACCTCATGAACTGGGAGTGCGCCATTCCAGGAAAGAAGGGGGTAAGGCCGCCGGCCTGCTGCTGGCGCGGTTAACAGAAGGTTCAGGAGGCAGAACTGGGAGAGGCTCGAGTTCAGACGCCACTCGTGTGTGACGTCCACACTTGTCGTGGGTTACAGTCATCGCGAATCCTCTGCTCTGGCCTCAGCCCCCATGGCGGGACATGAGGTCAGAAGGTGCCGGCAAGGTTGAGGTGACAACTCTGACTAACCAAGAAGGAAGCAGCTGGCTGCCGGGCGGTGGGGCACTCGGCGGGACAGGCCCCTGGTGCGTGGCTGGGGTGCAGAGCCATGGGGGTGGTGGGTGGGGCAGCCTTCCCAGTGAGGAGGGGTCCTGCCGTGCGGGGGTGAGGCAGCCCGAGCTGGGGCGTGTCCTGGAGAGCCTGCCTGGCACAGAGGCCAGTGTGGCCACCCCGGACGCTACTGGGCGCCCTGAGCATCCTTCACACACAGGCCCTGGTGCTGACCCTGCTCCCCTGTCCTCGTTGCCCTGCATGTTGGCAGCATTTGAGAGTGGGGGCACCAGTCTACGGACAGCTCATCTTGACCCTTAAGAAAGGTGTCTGGGTGATGCACGGGGCCTAGGCACCCCCACCCATCCCCACCTGTACACCTGCATGCTGGGCTCCGCCTGGGTGTCTCCGAGTGGTCCGTGGTCCTTGGGCTCAGCTCTACCTGAGGGGTGATGTGGTTTGCGTTCGTCGTCCGTTCAGGGCTCTGGGGGCCCAGTGGGCCCATCCTCTGGCCCTCGTGTTAGGGCGAGGCAGATGCCCCGTTGCTGTCCCCTTCCCCAGGGGACGCCGGGAGGGTGTCAGACTGGAGCAGCAGAGGTGCCTTGTCCAGGCGGGATGGGTCGGGGAGCACAGCGGCCCTGTCCTGGAGGCGCGTCCCGCCTCCGCTCCTTCCCCAGGAGGCTCTTCCTGGCTCTCCTGGGCACAGTGGAGTCTCCATGGTCCTCTTGGGGGGCAGTCTGGGCTGCAGGACAACTTAGAAGACCCCGAGCGTCGTGGCAGCCCTGGGTGCTGGGCAGTAGACGCGAGTCCCCTCCCAGGCCGCCGCAGGAGGTGCGCAGCACACCTTACCGTGCTCTCTTCCCCCGCAGACTCCGTGGGAAGGAGGTTTGTTCAAGCTGCGCATGCTCTTCAAAGACGATTACCCATCCTCACCCCCAAAGTGTGAGTAGCAGAGACGGTGGGCGTCCTGGCTGGTCACTGATCTGCCCCAGGAGGCACACGTGGTGCTGGGAGGGAGAGGACCTGACCTTGATCCTTGACCCGCTCGGGCTCGGGTGTGAGTCTGTCTCTGGCCCCAGGGTGGGCGGAGCGTGTAGCAGGCTGATCTCTGGGCCGAGATCGCCTGGACCTCAGGTGGCTGTCGGTGACGAAAGACCACAGACCTGGTGCCCGTGAGGCCGCAGCCCTGGGTGACGGACGTGCAGGGCCCTGTTGGGAGTGTCGCCCTCCGAGGGTTTGTGGTGCCCTCCCCGCACCGCCCTGCCTGTGGGCTACTGCGCAGCTCCGCCCTGCCCGTGCTGCGTCCGCTCCCCGAGAGGGTGGTGGGAGGAGGTGGCCACGTTTGGAGTAGCGGCTGCCGCTGAGCGAGTGGTCTGAATGCAGTCCGGCAAAACTCCGCAGGGGCGATAGGTCCCCCCTCTTGTGGCTGGAAACCAGCGGTGCTGCTCAGTCAGGGCGAGTCCACACGGGCGGGCAGCTGGAGAGCGCTCGCCCTGGTCCTTCCGGCTGCGGCAGGAGCGCGGTCTCCACTGCGGCAGCTCCCAGACGAACGCAGCCTGTTGACTGGGGGTATTAACGTGGTAACACTGCGATGGAGACTTGTTTCGTTCGGGCTTGTCCTTTGCCGTTTGAATTTTTTTGCCATGGACAAGTGTTGCTTGAAAACGATTTCTTCTAATTAAGAGAAAAATGTAAGAACGAGACAACGTAGCTGCTTTCGTTGCTTCAGTTCGGCGGATTGGAATTCCGAGCAAACGCAGCAAGGCGAGGCGGAGGCCGCGAGGGAGCTGGGAAAGGCAGCTGCGGCTGCACAGACCGTCCCTTCAGGTCGCTGTGTAAGAAGTTAACGTATAGAAATCACTTTTCACGTCATTTCAACAAAGGGAAGTTTTGAAACTGCTTTTCCAGTAGCATCAGATCCCTTGGACCGACAAAAGATTGGTTCGAGAGCTCAGTGCTGGAAACAGGAGAACGTTCCTGACAAGTCAGGGACGGCCCAAGCGCCACCGCTCCCGTGGACTGGAAGACGCGGTGTCGCGCGGACGTCAGCTCTCTCCAGCCCGTCTGCAGGTTCTGCAGTCCCAGGGGGTCGAGTGTGCTTCGCGGGAATCGTCGAGCAGCCCTAAGTGTGTGTGGAAGTGCAAAGGGCAGGACTCGCTGAGGCCCATTGTGTGCAGGGAACCCACATGGTGGGCTGGGCAGAGCGCACCCCGTCAGATACCGAGACCTGCCATGGGACACGGTGGCCGTAGACGCCCCGGGTTGGTGCGAAGGCAGGGACGCAGCCCGCAGCGCAGAGCGGAGCGTCCAGAAAGGCCGCGCACGTGCAGCGGCTGTTTGTGCTGGGACGTCCCAGTGGGAGAAGAGGAAGCTCGGCCTCCTCCCTCCATGGATAGGTGCCTTCCCGGTGCGCTGCGGCGCCCGCTGGGAAGGGTGCTATGGCTTTTGGAGGAAGACGGGGAAAGATGGGACGGGCAAAGATTGCTTAACCAGGGAAGCGCCAGAGTGCTAACCCTGGGGGGCAGTGGACCCCTTGAACCGCACTGAAGATGAGAACATCTTTGCCTCAGAAGACCGCCTGAGAGGGAGAGAGGAGAGCGACGTCTGAGTCTCAGCACTTTTGACTTGTCAGGAGCTCCCGTGAATCGTCGGGAACAGGCCGACACCGTGAGGTCAAACAGGCCTTCCCAGGGGAGCGGACCCTGCTGTGCTCACGGAAGAGCAGACGGCCAAGGGCGCGGAGCAGCGGGAGAGCGCACACTTGGGGCGCTCGCCTTTGGAAAATGGTCTGCCGTGTCTGCGGAAGCTGAACTCAGCCCGCTGTGGGGCCTCGAAGTGGCGCCGTGGGGGATGAGTGCCCAGCAGGGCGCACGTGTGTGGGCACAGGACAGGCAGGTTGCCTGCGGTGGGCGCACTGGGACAGCCGGGAGCGGGACACGGCCCAGGCGTGCGTGGACACAGAATGGGGACAGCGTGCAGCAGCCGGGGGGCCCCAGGGTGCAGAGCGTGAGCGCAGGGCGGGCAGGGGAGGGCCGCCCCCCGGTTCCTGCAAGTCCAGAAACGTAGATGTGCCCTCGGGCTTCGTCTCTCCCAGAACAGCGCGTGCTTGTTCTGCGTCCGTCTCCTTGTGGCCACAATTTCATTTTTTTTGAAAAGTTCTTGGCCAGATGCCTGGTCTCCTGCCAGGTGCCCGGCGTGGGGAGGAGGGCGACCTGGGAGCACGCTACTCTGTAGGACGGCAGCTGCCTCCAAAAAGCGTTTCCTTTCCTCGTCTGCCAGGTAAATTTGAACCACCATTATTTCACCCAAACGTGTACCCTTCGGGCACGGTGTGCCTGTCCATCCTGGAGGAGGACAAGGACTGGCGGCCGGCCATCACGATCAAACAGGTACGGGCACGGGCTGCCTGCGCTGTCTCGGGAGTCCGCCTTTCACGCCGCGGCGGCCCACTGTGTGTTGTTTTCTCTGCCCAGATCCTACTGGGAATACAGGAACTTCTAAATGAACCAAATATCCAAGACCCGGCGCAAGCAGAGGCCTACACGATTTATTGGTAAGTGGCGACTGGCCCCGCGGGCGGCAGCCTCCTTTCCCATCCCGTGTAGGCCGCCCGACGGGGCGTAGACACGAGCTCACGCAGCGTGGGGGCCGGGGAAGCCCTGCGGGCCCTGGGTGCTGCATGCACAGGCCTGGTGGGCAGGAGCTGGTCTGGCCGGGCTTTGGTGGCGGGAGCAAGAGGTCGGGTGACGTGGGCTCTCGTGCGCCACTGTCCCTTGTGAGCTGTGCCCGGCTCCAAGAAGGCCTGCTGAGTGCCAGGGTGGGAGCCACGCTGAGGGCGTGTCCTGTGTCCCTCCCATGCCATGTACCCACAGTCGTGGCTCCTACGTACGTGAGGTGTGGCCCAGCAGGAGTGGCGCTCACGGCTCAGTGACGACCTCACTCAGGCACTGGGCTCCCATCCTGGCCTTACAAGGTGCTGCTGTGGCCAGAGGGGTCCCTGTGGTCATATGTCCCTGCCCGTGCTGGGGAGGGGGGCTGGGTGTGAGTCAGGACTCGAACGGTTAACCTGGTGCTAGGGCAGCAGGGCCCCTGTGCTATCTGTGTCCCAGGTCCCCCGGCAGCCTGTTGGGCTGCTCTGGTGGCTGGGCTGGGGGCTCTGACCCCATACTCCATCTGCAACATTCAGAAACTGGCCCCACTGCTCCGAGGGAACGGGCTGGGAGGCTTTCTGAGGACGGACCTGGGTGCCCCACGCCCTGGCTTGCCTGCCGCGCCAAGGGGCCAGCCAGTCCCACCCTGGGCAGCAGGGGTCTGCGCCTTCAGGGGGCGTTTCCTGAATCGGAGCCGGCCAGGAGGGAAGGCTGAGGCAGGATCGGCCACCACGGCGGCCGCTCGCACGCGGCGTGAGGAGAGATGCCAGGTCTCGGGACGCGCCTTTCTCCCGGGCGCGGTCCCAGCCCAGGTGTTGGTGAGGGGCCCTCCCTGGTGGCCACGGGCAGCTGAGAGGCACCAGGCAGGGGGTGGCGCTGCTGCGGCCTCAGCCTGGCTCCCCCAGGGGCCGACTTTGGTCAGTCCCCTGGCCCTGGCTCAGTCGCCAAGCTGCCGCTGAGGGCCTGGCGGGACGAGGCTGGACTCCGGCCCATGCTGCCGCCTGCTGTGCGCGTGTCGCTCTGTGAGGCGCGTGCGCTCTGTGCCGGGGAGCACACGGGGCCTCGTGCAGGCGGGAGTCGGCTCCCACGGACATGGCCGGTCACCCTGGCCAGCCGCCATGGAGAGGCAGCGGCAGAGCTGATGGCTCATGGCGACGGAGCAGCCCATGAGGCAGAAAGTGCTCTCCTGTCCGGCCCTGGGGGCTGCGGGCCGCCGCTCCCGTCTGGTCCCCGACTCGCCAGCCTCGGCGGGGCGCAGTGGCCGCTCCTCACCCGCAGCCCCGAGGCCAGCAGGCCCTGCTGTGCAGGTCACGCCCTGCGTCACCTGGGCTCCGCGGATGGCTCCCCTTCGCTCTCACTTAGAACAAAACGTTCTTTCTCTTGCAAACGTCCACCTTGAAAGCACCTTCTGCCGAGTGCGCGGAGTGTGCAGAGTGTGCCGAGAGCTCCGATTCCCTCTGTTTCTGAAGGCCTCGGGGCACCGCGGCCCCTCTGGCCCTTCCTGCGCCCTCCCAGCCGAGCTCCTCTGCCCTGGGCCCGCCTAGCGGCCTGAGCTGGGCGCTGGCGTTAGGAGCAGAGCAGGGTCTGGGCCTTGCGGTGGGGGCTGCGCCGTGGCCCTGACCCCACGTCCCAGGACCGGCGTGCACGTCCGTCTGCACGGTAGTTCCTCCAGTCTGTTGACCCCGGGGCCTCTGCAGTCCCTGGGCCTGGGCCGCAGGCGGCCACAGTGTGCGACGGGGCGGGGAGGTTCGCGCCCTGCTGGAGAGCAGGCTGGCTCCTTGGGGAGCGCCGTGCACGCCTCGTGCGCAGACACGTCGGGCCTGGCTGGGCGCACAGGATCAGACCAGCCCTGCACAGCGCTGCTCCCCTGTGCCACCCGTCACGCCCAGGCGCAGCGTTGGCCACTCTCACAGCCCCGTCTTCGGGGCCGTTCTCAGGCTGGGCCCCTTCCGACCGAGCCACCTCCTACACCTTTGCCCCGGGACGAGAGCCTGGTGGAAAAACCCTCTAGTTTGGGAATTGGGAGCAACTAGTGTCAAGCAGTCAATGTTTTGTTTTTGATTTTTTGAGACAAAGTCTCACTGTCTCCGGGGCTGGAGTGCAGTTGCGTCAGCTTAGCTCACTGTAGCCTCAAACTCCTGGGCTCCTGCGATCCTCCTGCCTCAGCCTCCTGAGCAGCTGGGACCACAGGCGGGAGCCACCACGCTGGGCTAATTTTTCTGTTTTTATTAGAGACAGGTTCTTGCTCCTGCTCAGGCTGATCTCGGCCTCTCGGAGTGCTGGGATTGCAGGTGTGGACCACCACACCCAGCCCAGTCAATATGGTTAAAAGTAACCACTGTCTCAAACTTCTACAAGAGAAACCTCCGACGTCTAGTTAAGATGCGTGGCTAGTTAGGATCGGTGGCTGGTTAGGATCGGTGGCTAGTTAAGATCCATGGCTAGTTAGGATCGGTGGCTAGTTAGGAGCACAGACTCAGCACAAGTCACACGGTTGCAGGCCCCTGTGGTGTGGACCACCCTCTGGTCCCCAGCTGCCTCACGGCCCAGTGGGGCCACTGTGCCCAAGAGGCTGCTGCCCCACCCCTCCGGGTCACCGTGTCCACCAGATGTGGCCTCCTTTCCTCCCTGCTGCCCCCTGCCCTGGTCTCGGCGACCCTTGGGCTGCCTTGCCGGGCACAGCTCCCCAGGCCACTGGCTTTGTCAGGAGCCTCCGAGCTGCAGAGGCCTCCAGTCCGGTGCAGCCGGCGCTCCCCTTTCTAACGTGTCTCTTCTCTTTTGACCTCCTCAGCCAAAACAGAGTGGAGTATGAGAAAAGGGTTCGAGCACAAGCTAAGAAGTTCGCGCCCTCATAAGCAGCGACCTGTGGCATCACAAAAAGGAAGGGATTGGTTTGGCAAGAACTTGTTTACAACATTTTGCAAATCTAAAGTTGCTCCGTACAATTGCTAGTCACCTAGGGGAGGGTTGGGTGGGCGCCATCTTCCATTGCCGCCACGGGACACAGTTCTTGATTCGCTGAATTGCCCAGTTTTTCATACAGGGTCTCTTCCTTCAGTCTTTTGTATTTTTGATTGTTATGTAAAACTTGCTTTTATTTTAATATTGATGTCAGTATTTCAACTGCTGTAAAATGATAAACTTTTATACTCGGGCAAGTCCCTGGAGCTAGCTTCCTCCGCTCTGATGCAGGCATGCTTCTCACCTGGCCGCGCTCACCTGGCCGCGCTGGCTGTACAGAAAAGAAACCACACGGCCACCCGCCTTGTCCTCCAGATCTGGGGCGTGTTGCTCTTGAGCCTCAGATCCGAAGCCAGCGCGTCTGACCGCATCACTTCCTTTGTGTTTCTATGGCGTTCTGTCTGTGTTGCTGTTTAGAGTAAATAAACTGTTTATATAAAGGTTTTGTTGCATTATTGTCATTAAAAGTGTGAGGAGGCCCCGGAGTGCCCTCCCCTCTGTGCAGGCCCTGTGAGCACCAGCCCCGCGGCCCTGCGTCAGGCCCGGCCAGCGACAAGCACTTCTCACGCCTCTGCTTCCGGATGCGCCTCTCCTGTCCCTGTTCTTTGTAAATACGACTGTGTTCTCCCCGCCCCGGACCTTTGTAGAGTACCGGACGGCTCAGGTCTGGCCGAGTCGGAGCCGGCATCGGGAGCCTTGCGAAGCACACGGGGCAGAAGCGGGCGGGCGCGGCTGTCCGAGCAGCCTGCTGGCGTGGGCTCCCGCGGTGGCCAGGCCGCAGCGATGGAGCCCTGCCTGTGGACAGCGGCTTCTCCCCTCCCCGTCTGTGCTCTGCCCCGCCGGCCTGGCCTGGGGGCAGCCCTCTGCCCCCTCATGCCCTTCCCCGCGTCCTGAGGAGGCAGCCCTGCCGCCCCCGCTTCCTCCAGCTGCTGCCTCCACTGCTTGCCGCCCGCGCCGGCCCCACCCTGGCGGCAGGTGGACGGGCCCCGGGCGTTGTCTCGGCACCAGAACCCTGAGTAAGGCGCCACTGTCCACACATCCTTGCCCTGAGGATTTCTGAGCACGGGACGCGCCGCGGGGCTGGCCGGCCTGTCCTCTGGGCTTCCCAGGGCTGGCGGCTGAGCCGCCGTCCCCTGCTGGCAAGCCGAGTGCAGGTCCCAGCTCTGCTGGAAGGCGCGGGGGTCTGGCCCTGGAGCCCAGAGGCTGGATCAGGGCCAGCACCCTCAGCGCTAGAGCTGGGTACCCGTGGCTCGGGCACAGGCGCAGGAGTGCAGAGCCGGCCGTGGGCCCCGGGAGGAAGGAGCTCGGCGCCCCTCTGGTCTGTGTGGGCCGCCGGGGATCTCCGAGGGTAGCGGTGACTCCCAAAGGCCCTAGGGCTGGCGGCACGCCGGTGGCTCCGAGGTACGAGTGCCTTGTTCGCTTTCTTAGCTGTACATTTTGTCAGGTCGCTGGGCTCTCGGTTTGATATTTGCAGTTTGTTTATAACGCAGAGGGCCTTACCTGGGGATCCAGCCGGATTGTATGTTTGTAGCTTGCTCCCGAATGTCTGATTTTGTAACGACTGAACTACATTTAGTATTAGTTAACACATGTATATGGTTAATATATATGGAAATTCAATATATTTTATAGTTAAAGTATTCTAAAGTAATTGATGTTTCTAGCAAACTGTAGTGACTTCGGCTAATGAAATGTTTCCTTTGTACCACAGTCCTCGGCTTAGCAAAGATGTGAATCTTGTAACATGAGCTCTCTGGAATGTGACCCGTGGCCAGTGTCAGGGAGAGGGTGTGTTCCGGGCATGGCGTCTCTCACTGGTCAGGAACTGTGGGCAACACGTTAACCACTGTATCTAAGAATCCTCGAATTAAAACGTTTCCACAAGCTGCCGCCTGCGGGGTGTGTCCTTTTCCTGCCTGTCCAGTCCTCGCTGGGCTGTGGGGTGGGCGCCCCCTTGCCCGGCACCCCACTGCCCCTGTTCTGTGCTGCCCCCCAGGGGAGGCCCCCACGGCCTCCAGCACCCGGCATCAGACCCTCCGTGGCCAGTGGGGGTGATGTCACCTCAAGCCTAGGTGGGAGCCCTCTGCCCCAGCTGCCCAGGGCGGGGGTCTCCGGGGAGCACGTGTGTCCAGGCCGCTGTGCGGGCGCAGACGAGGAGCCCAGACTCAGGGCGGCTCCCAGGGGGACCCTGTGCATGACGCGAGGGGGTCAGGCTGATCACACCTGTCAGTCTCGCCCGTCCTGGGACTTGGGGCTGGCTGGGCCGAAGGAGGCAAGACCCGACCACCACCCAGGACTGCTGTCCCCAGGAACGTCAGCTCCTGGCCAGGCCACCACGTCCCTCTCACCCCTCTGCGCTGTCCAGCCCGGGCTCTGGCCGTGTCCTGGCACCTGTCCGCCCACCTGCAGAGGCTCCCTAATCAGCCCGAGGCACGACCATCACTTGTGGGAGCAGCTGATGGAAACCTCCAGTTTGTGGTTGCCATGACAACGAGTTGCCAGGTTGGAGGGCCTGAGCACTGACTTGGACCGGCTGGAACCGGTCTGAGCTGGCTCCAGCAGGGAGAGGCCCAAGGGGTGCTTGCTTTCAGGATGCGGATGCTGAGTCTGGGGGTGTCCTGCCTACCACTCGGGAGACAGCGCCGGCCCCGTCTGAGGGAGCCCTGGGGCCTAGCCAGGGGTTGGACCATCAGGTGGGAAGGGACCAAGCAGCCGGCCCTGCCCAGAGGGCACCCGTGGGGCGGGCTCTGCCCTCGTGGGGCCTCTGCTGGCCCAGGCAGAAGCCCACCAGATCCGCCTCCTCGGAGGAGGGGCAGCTCCCACTCCTTGATGGGGGTTCCGCCGTTATGGAAGGAAATGAGCCCCCAGAACCGGGACCAGGGCACCTGCTGCCGCCAGCTCTGCTCAGAGGCTGCATGTGGAGGGGCCGGTGCGTCCTGAGTGGGCCTCTGCCGGGAAGCCTCAGGCTGGCTGGAGGCGCCGGTGGCTGTGCCACACAGCCTGGGCCTCCCATCGCCCAGGCCTCGCAGACAGCAGAGCCATCCTGCCTGCCGGGCTGTCCCGCCAGTGTCCTGGGCCCACTTCCCTGCCCCCCCCCACCGTGGCGTCATGAACCACAGACCTGCAGGCGCAGCAAAGCCCAGGCCCAAGGGCATCCCTGCCTGGCTCAGGGTGGTTCCCTCAGCCAGGTCCACGTGCTCATGGAGCCCCTCAAGCCGCAGGCCCCTCTACCCCAGGGATGGTGCAGGGTGGGTTCCTGCTGTCCTCAGAGCCCTGCAGCCTGGGACAGACGGGGTCCCTGGCCAGAGTCCCTGGGCTCTGGCCCCACGCACTCCAGGTGGCCTACCCCCCTTCCCCTGCCCCTGTTCTGTGCAGGGAGCGAGGGCAGGTGGGGGGCAGAGGACAGGGGAGGAGCTTGGCTGGTAGCGGGAGTCTGTGCTTGCAATTCCGAGGAGAACCGCCAGAGGGTGGTGCCCCAGGCCCTGCAGGCGTCACGGAGTCCCAAAGACGGTGACCATCTGCCCTACTGAGCTGCCCCTGGCCTGGGCATGTCAGCAGCTCGGGTACGTGTCTCCTGGCCCTGAAGAGAAAAGGCCACGCTCCCTGCCTGCCAGACCCTTTCCAGCTTGAAGCCCTGAGAGTGTGAACACGGCCAGGCTTGGGAAGCAGCTTTTCTCGGCTTTGCACAGGCAGTGCCAGCCTCCTCCCCATCAGCCTCCCCAGCCCCGGCCAGGTGGGGTGAGTCACGCCCCAACACACCTGCCATCCCTCACTTCCCCCAAAGGGGCCAGGGTGACCCCCCAGAGCCAGGGCTAGGGCTCAGGCATGTGGTGGGTAGGTGCCCACCCTCCTGTCCTCTCTCCTGGCCCTGGATCACACACGAGGACCAGCTTCCACCCCCCACCTACAGATGGGGAAATTGAGTCACTGGAGGAGCTGGGATTCACCAGGTGGCCACAGTTCTGGAGCTGACACTGACTTGCTGGGAGCCGAGATCGGCCCAGTGAGGTCCCCAACAGTACCCAGGGGCAGGGGGCAGTGGAGGGTTGAGCTGGGGCAGGGGTGAGCAGGGGACGGGGCCCTGACGCAGGTCACCCTGACTTCAGTCTCAGCAATGAGGGGAGAATGAAGGACTCGGTCACTGAGCGGGCTGGATTTCGTTCATTTGACAACCCCCCCAACATTGTCTGTGGAAGAAAGAGCCCTGGAGATTATCCTATCCCAGGGAAACTGAGGCCCAGGGCTGGGTTTGGGACCCAGCCTCTTGCTGTGTGGCCCCAGACAAGCCTCTTGCCATCTCTGGGCCTCAGTTTCCCTACCTGTAAAAGAGAATATTGAGAGGTCTCCAGAGAGACTGCGGCGTTTTGTAGGGGCTGGTGCCCCTGCATGGGGGCCGCAGCCTGGCAGCAGCCCCTCCCAACTTCCTGCTTCCAACAGCTGCAGCATCTTATCCCTTCACCCAAAGCCACTGTGATCACCATGGCAACCGGCCCTGTGTTTGTTCCAACAGGTTGGCAGGGTCTGACGCAGATTGCAAAGGTGGGGGCATCGGTGCCGGGGCCCTGGCTCAGGACCCACATCCCCTCCGGAGGGACATGGCCACCCCAGCCCTGACTCCCCTCCGCTGCCGAGGAAGCTGAGGCGCGGCTGGTGGGCAGGGGTCTGACCCCCTCCCCGGCTCACCTGACACATCTCTGTGCCAAGCAGTTGGTGCCTTTCCTGAGCCCCTGCCGTTGCCCGGCTGTGCTGGGTCAGGATGGAGGCAGGGCCTGGGGGTGCATGTGCTGGAGGACAGCCCTCCCTGCTGTCCTGTCCCCCACCTCCCCCACCCATGTCCTCTGTCCCCATCCTGCACAGACCCATACAGGGCTAGGCAGGGACGTGAAGCCCTGTCGGTAGAGTCTGCCCCATTCTGGGTAAGGGGAGAAGCCTCTGCGTTCTCCTTGGGCTGGGGACAGTGGCCATGCTGCCCCCTCCGCAGCGCCCAGGGAGTGGCCGCTGGGGCAGTGCCCACAAACGCAGCCAGGTACTCGCAGGAGGCTGGACCCCCGCGAGGGGCCCTGCACTGAAGGCCTGTCTGGCCTCCGGCCCCTCAAAGGGGATCGCACTTGCCTCTCGGCCCAAGCTGGAGTGTGCTCCAGGCCTTCTGCCCCTCACACTGGGGAGGAGCCCACCCCTCGGGCCGGGCCCTTGGGGGTGAAAACTTCGCCAAAGTCTGATCCTCCCAGCCCGACGTGCTGCGGGTATCAGGGCTGTGACCTAGGGCGCTAAGAGCTTGGGACAAGACTGGGAACATCTGCGCTGCCCCCAGGAAGACCTTAGGGCCCTGGGCCTCCAAGTCTGGTCCCAGGCCCAGCAGCGCGTTGGCGGGAGCGTGTCAGAAAGGCAGCTGGTGGCGATCTGCTTTTGCACGCCCTCCAGGTGAGGTGCGCTCAGGCTTGAGAACGCGTTGCTGCGCCGCAGGTGGCGCGGGGAGCTGCCTGGGGAGGGGCTGGCGGCGGGGACCTCGCCAGAGCCATCGGGACGATCACCCCAACCGGTGATAAGGGTCGTCGTGCGTGCCCCGCGCAGGCCTTCCCTCTGCGGAGAAAGAGCGGTTTGGCCCGCGGTGGCCGGGTCCCCAGACGCAGGCCGCGCCAGGCAGGTGGGGGACGCCGCTGGGCTGGGAGCGCGACTCTGGAGATGGTTGCGCAGCCCTTCGAGAAAAGTCTGCGCTGCAGCCCGGCGCGTCATGTTGGGGATCGGTGACTGGCCTCCCGGGGGCCGCGGGGAGGGGACCCCACCGACAGCGCCCCGCCCCGCCCCCTCCCGCCGCGGGGGGGGGAGCGCGGCCAGGCGGGGTCCAGAGCGGAGCGCAGCCTG